TACTATCAAGTACAGGGTGTGTAACCAGGTCTTACCCCGCTGGATGTTTACTATCAAGTACAGGGTGTGTAACCAGGTCTTACCCCGCTGGATGTTTACTATCAAGTACAGGGTGTGTAACCAGGTCTTACCCCGCTGGATGTTTACTATCAAGTACAGGGTGTGTAACCAGGTCTTACCCCGCTGGATGTTTACTATCAAGTACAGGGTGTGTAACCAGGTCTTACCCCGCTGGATGTTTACTATCAAGTACAGGGTGTGTAACCAGGTCTTACCCCGCTGGATGTTTACTATCAAGTACAGGGTGTGTAACCAGGTCTTACCCCGCTGGATGTTTACTATCAAGTACAGGGTGTGTAACCAGGTCTTACCCCGCTGGATGTTTACTATCAAGTACAGGGTGTGTAACCAGGTCTTACCCCGCTGGATGTTTACTATCAAGTACAGGGTGTGTAACCAGGTCTTACCCCGCTGGATGTTTACTATCAAGTACAGGGTGTGTAACCAGGTCTTACCCCGCTGGATGTTTACTATCAAGTACAGGGTGTGTAACCAGGTCTTACCCCGCTGGATGTTTACTATCAAGTACAGGGTGTGTAACCAGGTCTTACCCCGCTGGATGTTTACTATCAAGTACAGGGTGTGTAACCAGGTCTTACCCCGCTGGATGTTTACTATCAAGTACAGGGTGTGTAACCAGGTCTTACCCCGCTGGATGTTTACTATCAAGTACAGGGTGTGTAACCAGGTCTTACCCCGCTGGATGTTTACTATCAAGTACAGGGTGTGTAACCAGGTCTTACCCCGCTGGATGTTTACTATCAAGTACAGGGTGTGTAACCAGGTCTTACCCCGCTGGATGTTTACTATCAAGTACAGGGTGTGTAACCAGGTCTTACCCCGCTGGATGTTTACTATCAAGTACAGGGTGTGTAACCAGGTCTTACCCCGCTGGATGTTTACTATCAAGTACAGGGTGTGTAACCAGGTCTTACCCCGCTGGATGTTTACTATCAAGTACAGGGTGTGTAACCAGGTCTTACCCCGCTGGATGTTTACTATCAAGTACAGGGTGTGTAACCAGGTCTTACCCCGCTGGATGTTTACTATCAAGTACAGGGTGTGTAACCAGGTCTTACCCCGCTGGATGTTTACTATCAAGTCCAGGGTGTGTAACCAGGTCTTATCCCGCTGGATGTTTACTATCAAGTCCAGGGTGTGTAACCAGGTCTTACCCCGCTGGATGTTTACTATCATGTCCAGGGTGTGTAACCAGGTCTTATCCCGCTGGATGTTTACTATCAAGTCCAGGGTGTGTAACCAGGTCTTACCCCGCTGGATGTTTACTATCATGTCCAGGGTGTGTAACCAGGTCTTATCCCGCTGGATGTTTACTATCAAGTCCAGGGTGTGTAACCAGGTCTTACCCCGCTGGATGTTTACTATCATGTCCAGGGTGTGTAACCAGGTCTTATCCCGCTGGATGTTTACTATCAAGTCCAGGGTGTGTAACCAGGTCTTACCCCGCTGGATGTTTACTATCATGTCCAGGGTGTGTAACCAGGTCTTATCCCGCTGGATGTTTACTATCAAGTCCAGGGTGTGTAACCAGGTCTTACCCCGCTGGATGTTTACTATCATGTCCAGGGTGTGTAACCAGGTCTTATCCCGCTGGATGTTTACTATCAAGTCCAGGGTGTGTAACCAGGTCTTACCCCGCTGGATGTTTACTATCATGTCCAGGGTGTGTAACCAGGTCTTATCCCGCTGGATGTTTACTATCAAGTCCAGGGTGTGTAACCAGGTCTTACCCCGCTGGATGTTTACTATCAAAACACCGTTGTTGATTATTTCAAACAATTTTCTTACAAGATCTATTTTTCTTTTCAGAAATGCTTGATCATAGCTATGGTCATGCTGAAAAACTCAGTTTTTTTTCCAGTAGTAAGGAGACCTTAACGTGGAAAGAAGGTAAGTGTATTCTTATAAAACTGCCGGTTTGGTAAGTTATTAGAGTGCCGCCCTTCCTGGGTATACCTTTCTAGTGAGTCACTGAGTGGGTGTCCAAACCTGACTAAGATTTAGTTCTAGTCCACCTCCATTCCTCCGTTATAATGATGGTATTACATATACTAATTAACTATCAGCACGGGTCTACCGCACGTCTTCACCTCCAGAAATGTGTCAGGAAAGCTAGTTAATTATATCGTTATTCATTAACATTCGAGTATTTTGCGAGTGTCTTATTGAAAAGAATGATCACAACTCCTTTCAAGGATAACACGAGCTCAATATGCGTTTTATAAGACTGCATAATCATTTTGTATATAGTTCTGGAATTTCAGAAATTATTATTAAAATATAGTATCTTAACGCGGAGATGACCAATGACTATTGTTTTATAACCACAGAGGCCGGAACTCCTGATAACGTTGAGGTGACCAATGACTATTGTTTTATAACCACAGAGGCCGGATCTCCTGATAACGTGGAGGTGACCAATGACTATTTGTTTTATTACCACAGAGGCCGGAACTCCTGATGACGTGGTGGTGACCAATGACTATTGTTTTATAACCACAGAGGCCGGACCTCCTGATAACGTGGAGGTGACCAATGACTATTTGTTTTATTACCACAGAGGCCGGAACTCCTGATAACGTGGAGGGGACCAATGACTATTGTTTTATAACCACAGAGGCCGGAACTCCTGATAACGTTGAGGTGACCAATGACTATTGTTTTATAACCACAGAGGCCGGAACTCCTGATAACGTGGAGGAGACCAATGACTATTGTTTTATTACCACAGAGGCCGGAACTCCTGATAACGTTGAGGTGACCAATGACTATTGTTTTATAACCACAGAGGCCGGAACTCCTGATAACGTGGAGGGGACCAATGACTATTGTTTTATAACCACAGAGGCCGGAACTCCTGATAGCGTGGAGGTGACCAATGACTATTGTTTTATAACCACAGAGGCCGGAACTCCTGATAGCGTGGAGGTGACCAATGACTATTGTTTTATAACCACAGAGGCCGGAACTCCTGATAACGTGGAGGGGACCAATGACTATTGTTTTATAACCACAGAGGCCGGAACTCCTGATAACGTGGGGGTGACCAATGACTATTGTTTTATTACCACAGAGGCGGGAAATCCTGATAACGTGGAGGAGACCAATGACTATTGTTTTATTACCACAGAGGCCGGAACTTCTGATAACGTGGAGGTGACCAATGACTATTGTTTTATTACCACAGAGGCCGGAACTCCTGATAACGTGGAGGAGACCAATGACTATTGTTTTATTACCACAGAGGCGGGAAATCCTGATAACGTGGAGGAGACCAATGACTATTGTTTTATTACCACAGAGGCCGGAACTCCTGATAACGTGGAGAGGACCAATGACTATTGTTTTATAACCACAGAGGCCGGAACTCCTGATAACGTGGGGGTGACCAATGACTATTGTTTTATTACCACAGAGGCCGGAACTTCTGATAACGTGGTGGTGACCAATGACTATTGTTTTATAACCACAGAGGCCGGAACTCCTGATAACGTGGAGGGGACCAATGACTATTGTTTTATAACCACAGAGGCCGGAACTCCTGATAACGGGGAGGTGACCAATGACTATTGTTTTATAACCACAGAGGCCGGAACTCCTGATAGCGTGGAGGTGACCAATGACTATTGTTTTATAACCACAGAGGCCGGAACGTCTTTTGTTGGAACTCGTCGTTTGTTACTCACTGATCAAATTGAGAAAATAAAACAAGGCTTGATTGCGAATACTGATATGGACACGTGACACCATTATTCCGACCTCGACCTCGTCAACAATTGTTCTTGGGAGAATTATTTCGGGAATTAGATTGTGAAAATTGTGAGGTATATTTTGCAGAATATGTAATATGCATATAAAGAACAACTCCTCTATGTCATAAAAGCTTGTCGAGCAAATATGTTCATCTCTAAAACTGCACTCGTTTATTATCCGAAAATATCATTTCTCTCGGATTTAAACCTCCTCTGAAAAATCTTCCATACGCCCCATACACTCGTGCAATCTGAGTCGTGAGATAAACACACGCCTATATAGCTAAATAAAGTGGCTAGATATGACCAAAACATTGCATAGTACTTTTTTAGTTAGATATACATAGCAATGTTAACACATTGTAAAGAATTTGGTTTAGTAAGCAAAGTAAGTTATATTTCAATTTCGTTAATGCAATGTCTAATTATATTTATATGTGACTTGAGTGTAGTGATAGCGGATATATAGAAAATCGATGTAATATTCTAGCATCGATTTATTTATTGCATCGGTTATATGTTATAGGTTGACGAGCGTCAATGTCTACTATGCTAGCTCCCGTCTGTAACATACCTTGTAATTGCTACAATATAAAATACATTACGAATAATGAAAAATCTTAGACTTCGACTTTAACTGGACCAGCGCCACAATAAAAGCTGTAGACAATGCAAAACTAATATCATAATAGCAATAGCATAACATTTACGTCGCTACCTGTCAGCGTCACTGAGCTAAGTATGCCGGAATTAATGAGATGATCAAGAAACATTTTTCTAGAATCTAGGGCCATGCAATCCTCCAGTTCGAGTTTAAATCTTTCAACTTTTATTGACAGCAGCATAGACGATAACATATCGCTCTAGGCCTAAGTATCAGCGTATGTTGCTGTTACTTTGTTCTGCAATGATATTGTACATGATAAAATGTTCTGCAATGTGAATAAACGTTTTACATTGCACAGTATTGTCACTACTGCAGGATAAAACATGAACAAATAGTTAATACTAGCATAAACACAATAGATAACTAGCAGACACCAATATAAAATAAGACATCATGGACCCTCACAAATATGTATCGGAAACCCCAAAAAACAAAATAATTAACAGCAGAAAAATAAACTGAAACGTTTAGCTATTGCACTCATTAGGCAAATCTCTTACCTGAAATGTGCCCCTTTGTATCCTTTTGCTCTACACTGGTAACTTTGAGTTGAGCCTCGTTGATTCCTCACCTAAGTTAATATTGAAATCCCGACTGACAAAGGTGAATCTATTTAATCTACTGCTACGTCCCAGCAGGCGCGTGCCTTCCAAATGAAGAAAGGATGAATGATTGGACACAGCCTATTTCTACCGTACAGGGTACCCCAAGAGAGATGGAATCAACAATGTCCATTGACACTCTTCGGCGTGACGCTGTCAGTGAATCTGAGAAACGGTTTGATGTGTAGCCGACATCCTATTGGTATCGGCGTGCGTGGTGCTATGACGCCGAATCAGAGAAGGCGATAGGTCTTACACAAATGATCAATGCTGCAAACGCGACAACATTCCTATAATTTGTTCTGGTCGCACCCTTTGCAGCCACGTAATGAGGGAAGGAGGCGTTAATGTGGTGGGCGTGTCAAGGTTAAGGTGACCGATCTAATCGGTTGTGATACGTTGTTGATACGAAAAATTCGTTCAGGTTTGACGGTGATGTTTCTTAGGAAATCAAAGATCCCCCGCATCCTTATTGGGAGCCAATGAAAATCGAGTATTCGAATCACATGACAATATGATGACCAGTAAGAAATGACGGGTTTCTAACCGACTGTTATTCTATGTGATAAACATGGACATAGTTTGATTGATTAAATCGAGGTTTGACAGTTTACGACCGAAATGTTACATTTATCACTATATTTACGAGAAAAAGATATGATTAGTGTCCTATTGAAAGAAGACATCAGTCCCCTACCTTACAGCGATTAATTAGATTTGAGACTGAGTATTGACATCACATTTAGATGTGGAGATTGGAGGGTTGTAGTAGCATCAGGTATACACAGCTCTAACAAGATTCTAAATTGTATGTTCTACTGGCACAAACTCTTAACGTCGATATTTCAGAATGTGAGCAAGAGCATAACGTAATGAAACAAAACCGCAATTTGCAACAATAAAACGAAGACAAATATGTATAATGGAAGGATGTCAGGAGAAGTATTCCTGAAGAGTAAGCCACTTTTGCCTTATCGACGAGCCTGCAATGTAAATCTAGGTCAGCTCGAAGTAACAAGGCGTCCAAAAAAGTTAAAAAACAACATATCATCGTATTTCAACACTCATTCGTATCAATAACGATAATGTAGTTAATCGATGTAAAATAAGTTGTAGATTGTGTGTTTCACATTTTACCTGTGCAAGATAGGAACTTACAAATATAGTGAAAAGTGTTGATTTTAACTACAGTAAAAATATAGAACCTTCACTGGTGACATCATTGTTTATCGCGCAATCAGAGGAGTACTTTCTAGTCACTGTAATCCAAGCCATGGCCTTTCTGTTCCGATGCAGATAAGGTTGCGAAAAATGTGTGAATATTTTGATACAATTTTTCTTTTAATTAAGACTTAACTAACAAATGATGACAATTTAAGCAACATGTCTTTTAAAAGTGGCGACAATGATAACGCTTCTCCTTGTTTTATGCAGTTTCATCTTTAATGTCCCTTGGAATAATATATAATGTTCACTAGTATTGCAGAAATTCTCTCAGTATTCTGCCATAATCGTGAAACATATATTGTTTTCACAGAACACATTGAGTATCATCTCTCTTTATAATATAGTGATACAATGTTACTCCTTAAGGTGTTGAATTTTCATGAGAATCGTCGTTTGGTGACCCTTCATAAATACAGCTACGTTTCCGTAACATAACGGCACTTAATCACTCGTATAACTCTGCAGTATAAATACAGAAGAAAACATCGTACTAGAATTTTAAGTTACTGAAGATATCGTATCTATGTTGATAATACTTACATTTACCTATACTGATAGTAGTTACAACCCTCGACAAAGCTTTCTTTCAGAGTGTGCCAGCTGCGTGTTAGCGGTGAGTAGTTTATGACTTGTAAGGGCAGTTTTTTTTTAAGGACACTTTATCGACGGGTAGTTAGGGTTCAATTGTATACTTATTATGTGTAAACATGGTTCCAAAATATAAATTACCAGAGACGCTAACCTTGCACTAACCAAATATTTTGGACACCCATAGTTTTAAATAACTGTGTGCCTATTTACAATGAGCGAAGAAGACAAAACCAGGTTTATGTGAAAAACTTATAGAGACTATCGCCTCACAAGTATGAAAACACAAACGTAAGTACTTATCAATCCGAATAATACAGAAGTTTTTACTGTTTTGCTGCTCAAAAAATCTAGAAGGTAGGAGGAGGTTGGGGCATATTTTCGGCTAACTACCCCCTCAGATATGTGCTAAAATCTTAATTAAAGTGTATACAGAACTAAAATTGTGTGATGCAACTTTGTAACATCAACATCGATTTATCTGAAAATTGATGTACATATGAATGTATACATAATGAGTATAATGAATGTAAATTGATGAATACATGAATGCGTTTAATTTACCATGAGTATATACAATGAGTATATTGAACATACATTAAGTCTTATATAAATGCCAATATAGTAACGCAATATTATCAAGTGGCTAATCAAACTGCATGCTATGTTTAGTGTTATAACGAACATCTTATATGCCTGGTATAGCTATTTTCGAATAAGCTGTCATCAAGAACCTTGATTTGTCAGTTAATTTTTATTTGATAGACTATTGTCATTGATAAAACATACTATCTCTGAGGATAACACCTTTACATGGTACAGGGTGACGAAATTCCACAAAGGTTTTTTTTTGAATTTTATAAAAATGTTTGTATATAATACGAGTTCGTTTCTAAATTACACTTTGTAGACATCGTGCATAATAACAATACATGTTGTAAATGCAATTACTTAGACACGCACTACTGTAAATGTAATTACTCAGACACGTACTACTGTAAATGTAATTACTCAGACACGTACTACTGTAAATGTAATTACTCAGCACGTACTACTGTAAATGTAATTACTTAGACACATACTACTGTAAATGTAATTACTTAGACACGTACTACTGTAAATGTAATTACTCAGACACGTACTACTGTAAATGTAATTACTCAGACACGTACTACTGTAAATGTAATTACTCAGACACGTACTGCTGTAATGAAATAACGCAGGTCTCATACTGCTGTAAATGTAATTACTCAAGACACGTACTGCTGTAAATGTGTTTGCTCAGACACGTACTGTTGTTAAAGTAGTTACTTATACATTTACTGCAGTAAATGTAATTACATAGACCGGTACTGTTGTAAATGGAACAGTAGTCCAGTGGTAGGACGCCGGGCTCGTGACCGAATGGTTGCGGGTTCGCGCCAAGGCACGGCAATGTGTTGTATCCTTGAGCAAGATACTTAACTCCGCTTGTTCCAGTCTACTCAGCTGTAAATGAGTACGTGGTTGGGCAGTACTAGAATTGTTGAATGCTAACTGTTAGCGCCGAAATGACAGCTCCGGCTGTATGCTCTCCAGGGAGTTGAGAAATGTACTGGTTAGTTGCAAAGGCCCTATAACCTCGGATAATAATTTGTGAACCGCTTTGAGACGACCTACGAACTAGGGTGTGATAAAGCGGTATATAAGAACCTCCAATTATTATTATTATTATTATAATAAATGTAGTAACTTATACATTTACTGCTGTAAATTTAATTACTTAGACGTCTACTGTGTAAATGTAACTACTTTGAACTGTTTAAACATTTATTCCAATATTTTGGTTAAAATCAGTTGTGTATGCTTTATACTTTGTTAGATTACCTATTGATAATTTGGTCTAGTTTTCAAGTATGTAGGGTCGGAGAATAAATGTTAGGGCATTTTTAATGACATAACGCTTCAATACACACCAAAGGGTTAAAATACGACTTTGGCTCACGAAAGCAATAACTGTTCACTGTCAACACAATGCGATAATTGTATTGACACAAAACATTAACTCGTTACACATGCTTGCTTATTTTACTTTGTCAATTTATAATCCTACAACTAATGTAATATTTACTGACGTCAAATACGACCTCTTTATTTTTGTTAAACTTGACGTACGACCTTTAAATAGCGAAACATGTTATGCTGTATATACGTATTCTGTATCAATACAAGATGGCGACCTCGTTCACTATGTGATCCTGTCTCACGTTTTCTGGGACTGTAAACCTAATAATGAGGTAGGTAAAACAAACACCAGGTAATGCCTTTCTCCTGAAATAACAACAGCAGAAATTCAGTATACTGTATACTTGATTTATTACAGAGAATAGTTTTGTGTAAATATTCCAGTGTTTCGTAGACAGTAAAAATTGTTCATCATTTTAACGACACTTAATATGCTATTTTCTGTATATTTTTTGCTGCTTTGATCATTTACTATCCAATAACAGAGATAATATTGTTTTCAATGACATGCTTACAGAGAGACAATGATATGGCGTTTCACATGTGCTACCTTCCTGTTGCTGGGAATAAGTTCTGTCACTGCAGGTAAAACACCCTTTATCAAATTTGGAAACTATGAACAGGCCGTAACATAACAAGTTGACAAATCGAAATGTCATTTTGCAGAGATATTTATCACTAGTGGTTATTTGTGACCTTTGTAAGCGTTATGTATTTCCTCGGGAATAAATAAATCTGTTCTAGTCCATTTGATTTGGGGATTTGACAATATCTTATGATGTTGTCATTAGAACATTGGTTTTCGGTACTTAAAAGTCAGAATGGTTTTCTATATATACCACGTGTTATTATACCGACAAATCTTATGTGCTGTGACTGATTTGGCAGTTAAACAAGTATAAATACCACGTTTCATTAATACCGACATATCTGAGAGTGGTGATTGTTTTGGAAATTATACTAGTATATATACTAGTTGTCATTATACCGACATATCTGAGAGGGATGTTTATTTTGGGAATTATATTTGTATATATACCACGTTTCAGTATACCGACACATCTGAGAGGGATGTTTATTTTGGGAATTATACTAGTATATATACTAGTTGTCATTATACCGACACGCCTGAGAGTAATGTCTATGTTGGGAATTACACTAGTATATATACTAGTTGTCATCATACCGACACGCCTGAAAGTGATGTCTATGTTGGGAATTATACTAGTATATATATCCTAGTTGTCATTATACCGACACGCCTGAGAGTGATGTCTATGTTGGGAATTATACTAGTATATATACTAGTTGTCATTATACCGACCTATCTGAGAGGGATGTCTATTTTGGGAATTATACTAGTAAATATACTAGTTGTCATTATACCGACACGCCTGAGAGTGACGTGTATGTTTGGAATTATACTAGTATATATACTAGTTGTCATTATACCGACACGCCTGAGAGTGACGTGTATGTTTGGAATTATACTAGTATATATACTAGTTGTCATTA